CACTATAAAAAATGTCAAAAAAAAAAAGAAATGCATAAAACTTGATTTAAGTAAGCTAAACTTAACTTAATACACATATTTTTTTTTTGTTTTTGTTTATTTTTTTTTTCAATTGTCTATATTTACATTTATTGTATGTTTAACTTAACTGATTAGTTCATATATATATATATATATATATATATATATATATATATATATTGTCATGTATGTGTATCTTCGTTTCCCCCCAAGTAGAGCAATTTTTAATTGTAAATGTATTTGTAACTAAATGTTATACATTTATTTATAAGAAAAACAAAAAATATATAGCTACAAAATAAATGTATTTTTCCTTTAAAAAGAAATTTCTTTAAAATAATAATAATATGGTTTATTGAAGCATCCCAAATAGTTTGTCTATGGGAAATTTGATTTTATTTTCATATTTGGATATTTTTAAAGTACTCTCGTTTTTTAGCTTAAGGTAATCTCATTTTCAAAATTCCCCTTAAAAAAATCCTGATTTAAGATAAAATTATTTAAATTAAAGACTTTCGAGAAGAGTTTTAAATACCTTATTTTTGGCCGATTGTGTCTATCTGGATAATGCGATCCGATGCTACTCAAAAATATTTTTAAAAACAAAACAGAATCAATCGGTCCTACGGTCCTATTCCTAAATAATATTGGTTTGCGTTAATCGACAAAGTTCGAAACTCTAGAAAGAGAATTTTCAAATTTAAACCATAAATAATAAAAGTATACCAATAATAGTAAATTAACCAACTTGTCTTGCCCACCAGTTAAGTTAAATTAAGAAATATTATTTTATTTTTTTTTACAAACATTTGACGATTTGAATTAAATCCGTTTCATGTTAAAACAAAAGCCGTTACTTTAACATTAATGTTAAATTTAGTTCAAGTAAAACTCAAAATGTTCTGCTAACTAACAGAGTTTTAGTATATACAGATGCATACAAGTGCTTAATTGCATTTAGTATTTTGTCGTTTTTGGCCAATCGCTGGCACCGGTCACACTGTGCAGCAATACATCAACAAAAAGTTAATACTCGTCAACGGTTTCGAACGGTACTACTCGTAGTCCTCTGCAAACGAATTTGCAAAACTAAAATAATTTTTGTTGCTGTTACATTAATGGTTTAAGCCAATGTAAATAAATAGAAATAATTACATTTTATTTGTATGCTCGTGTGTGCTTGTGAAATTCATATAATTTGGCTGTTTTTTTTTTATTTTAAACCCTTGAAAGCTGTGTAAGCTAAGCGAAGCTTAAGTAAAACCAAAATTCGCCAAAAAATACGCATTGCAAATAATTATCTGAATACAAAAGAAATATATATATATATATATGTGAATTGTGAGCGCCAAAAAAATATTTTATAGCGCCAAAAATGGCGCAAGACGAACAACAACAAGTAGAACAAACAATTTGCAACACTGTTGCCCGCTCGCAACGGTTAAATATCAATCGATTTCAATCATTGCCCAACACGATCGTTCAATTAACGTTGCGCCTGTCCCCGTCATTTACTTGATTGCCTGTCCAACGATTTTAACGAACGTTCATGATGATTACGATTATGTCCGATGATAATGATTATGCTGCTGATGGTGTTGTGCATGTTGCAGCTTCCTTGCAAATTGAATGCCAAAAACAACAACAAAACTGAAAGTGCGACAAAGGCGAAGCCGGCTAACAACCGATTTGTCGATAAATTACGTAATGCCTCGATTCGAACCCTTTTTTTCTTTATTTTTGTTGTTTTTTTTTTCGCTTGTGACCCTGAGCGGTAATTGATGCGTGCGTGCGTGCGTGCGTGCGTGCGTGAGAGTAAGGGAGTAGGCAAGTAAAGCTTTCAAGCGCAGCTTCAATAATCAGCTGAGCTTGAACCAAGTGATCCTCACAGCATAAGTACATGCAAATACACTGAACAAAACTGGTGCAACTAGCGCAACAAATTCAACTAGAATTGTGAGCTGTTGCAATAAAAGCTTTGCTTATAAATATTTAAAATTTGTTTGCGATTTTGATTTTGACTTTATGTGCGGCGCAGTGTATTTAATTCGACTTGGCCTTTCGATGGCCTCTTTATGTAAATGTGTGTGTGTGTGTGTTTTAATTTTTTGTCTTATGGATAGCCGGCCAGTTGGGCCGCCTGTACTTGTTGTATATAAACACATACATACACACATGCGTGTATGTGTATGTGTGCATGTATTTATATGCATTTACTTGCTGTTGTTGTTGTTGTTTGCTTTTTGGCGCGCTTGAAAAGCGTGAAAGTCATTGTCCAATGTAGGCACAAACAGACGCCTTCGAACTGTTGCTGCCTGCCCCCCAGTGGCGACGCATGGAACCGGTGCCACTGCCGCTGCCGCTGCCGCTGTTGGCATCGCTGACACCTTGACTTGTTGGTAGGCCAGCCAGCCAGGCAGCCGGCCGGCCGGCTGGCTGAGCCACTTGAATGCTGCCCGTGAGCCGTGAGCAACGACGACAAACAAATGGAATGGTGTGCAAAACTCTCGATCAGGATCGTATACAACACACACACACACACACACACACACATACAGCAACGGTGCCCGTGCACACAGGCGCAAAATCAGAATACAGAGTTCTGTTTCTGTGAAGTAGCTTCTGCTGCTGCTGCGCGTCTGCGCGTCTGCACGTCTGTACGATTGAACAACATGTCGCCCCCCGGCCCCTCTGCCGTTACCCTTTCGCAGCCTGTTCGTACAAGCACGTCCCGCACCGTCCCGCAGCGTCTGTCGCTTTGTCTTGGCCAGCCTGCTTGTCTCGCGCTGGCTACTTGACAGTGTGCACTGGGCGCAAGCTGTGACGCCGACGCTGACAGCGACGCTGGCAGCGGTACTTGAGCCCACTTGGAGCCAGTCGTTGTTGTTGCTATCTCTGTGCGTGTGTGTGTGTGTGTATGTGTGTGTATGCGCGCGTATGTGTGTTTGTGTGAGTCTTGGCCTCTATCTTCACGACTTCGGGCAACAGTTGGGCACATGGCCAAAGTAATTCAAAATGTACATTTGATTCACAAACACGATTTTACACATTCATTTGACATGAATTTACAAAATGTTAATAGAACATTAAATTTTGAGTTAAAAATTGCCCGTTTCTTATGAAAATATTGCAAGCTATTGATATTTTCAAAAAGAATTTACGGGCTACATTCGATCTGTGCCCAAAATTGGCGTCTACCAAATATGGTTAAGATAAATCCAATGCCCGGCATCCAATTATGCTTTGTGTTTCGTTTTTCGAACCAGCTTGCAGCCTTGCTAAGAGATGTAGGATCGATTCACTGATTTATAAAACAGGATTATTTGTTTTTCAGAAAATTTAGTTTCTTGCAATATTTAAAAAAAAAAAAGAACATAACATATATCATCATACCTTATATAGAGACAAATTAATGTGGCTTTTGCCAATATTTTTCCACAGCGCTCTTCGAATCTTTGTACCAAAAGAACCATAAGAAAATGCATGTTTTTTTTTTCATTGATGAATAATTCCAATACGATTTTGTAAGCAGAAAATCAATATGCCAATTTTTTGTGTAGATCGTTTTTTTTTTTATCAATTATCTACATTAAGTGCAAAAACTGTTAAGTAAATACATGCAGTTCGACATGGCTAAAAATAATAATAATAATAATAACAGTGCAGTGCATACAATAGTCGCATATGCCCCAATTGCAGACTGCCCGTTCGCGAGTATTTGCTGAAGGTGTTTTTCGTGCTCATGTCAAGTGTGTGTGTGTGTGTGTGTGTGTTCATTAGGCAAACACTGCTGCAAGTGTTGGTCACTCTTCCTCTGCTTCTTCTTGCTGTTGTTGTTGCTGTTGCTGTTGTTGTTGTTAGCATCGCTTTAATCGGTAGCCAGTGAATTGGACCCGATTGCCTGTTGTGCCTCGAGGCGCATTTTAGCCCGACCAGCCTTTTGGCATTGTTTAGCTCAGTTCACATTCAGTTAACGTCTGTCGACTCCTTTTGGCAACAATTTGTTCTGCTTCTTCTGCAGCAGCAGCAGTGTGCCCGTCCCTCCGTATGTGTGTGTGCCTGTGTGTGTGTGTGCGTGTGTGTCTGTCCTCTTCTGCTGTTTGTTGTTGTCATTTATATTGTGTAAGATTGTTTATGATCGCCTCTTAACAAACTGCCCGACTTCGAGTGTGCCCAGGTTAGTCGCCCTTCTCTTTAAAAGACATGCACACATGCACATCTCTATGCATGTACACATATATACATACATGTACATATGTATATGCATGCGCATGTATGCATATGTATACTGCAATTTCCAGAGCTCTGTCTGCTCTAACTCGGGAGCATAGCCAGACCGAACTCGTCTTGGCATCCGTGCTCTTAGCCTGGTCAGCTTCTTGTTCTCATTGAATGTTTTTTTTTATTTTCACATTTCATTGTCGCCTATTTGTCGTTGTTGCTGCTTCTTTATTTTCTTGGTAATAAGGTGTGAGAAAGGCAATAATCGTAAAAAGCTAACAAATTGTTGCTGCTGCTGCTGCTGCTGCTGCAGTTGTTGTTGTTGTTGTTGTTGTTGTTGTTGTTGTCGCCGTCTTCGGTTTCACGCTAAAATGTTAATCGGCCCGTTTCAGTCCGTTGTCGCTGTCAATGCAATTATGTATAGATCTGTATTTGTCTAGGCATTTGTCCGTTCAAGTCTTCATTTTGTCAAACGTCTCCATTCTCCAACACGTGAGATCTGTTCGCGCATATATGCATGTACATATGTATATATATTATGTGATCTGTTGGGATCTGATCTCATGGCATTTTCAAATAGATTAGAAATGTGTGAAGTGCGTTTCAAATTTCATCAGGCTTATAACAATTAGTATAAGCTACACTGGCTAACAAAATGTTGTCAACGAATGTTGACCCACCTTATGGAATAGAACTTGAACAGTATATAGATTGAGGCTAGTTTTTATAGTTATTATATATTTAAATTGACTTACAAC